TTCTGCCTAGCGTGCATACGGCTATGGTGTTGGATCCCTAGAACTGCAGAAAAAAAAACTGATGAAATTTAAGAATTATGAAAACAGGCATTTACTTCTTGTCTACCTTAGGCAAATGTTGCACATTTTTAATGATGTTTTGGGGGAAGGTGGCTATGAATGTAACCCAGAGTCTCTGATATGATAGGTAAGCACTCTACCACCAAGCTATGTCCCCAGCCTTTCTATGATTTTTTTGTTTATTTGGTTGGTTTTGTTTTTTTAATTTTTTTGGCACTGGGGATCAAACTCACGTTTGCCAAGCAAACGCTTATGCCACTGAGCTAAATCCTTAGCCCTATAGGCTCACAGGTTTCTTTATTTTATTTTATTTTATTTTATTGGTATAGAGAACTGAACTCACAACCTCAAGCTTGCCAAGCAGGCACCTATGCCACTGACCTAAATCCCCAGCCATGTTGGTTGATTTTTTGAGATAAGGTCTCATTATGTAGTCCAGGCTAACCTAGAACTCACTGTGTACTCCAGGCTGGCTTCAAATCTTCTATGATACTCCTGCCTCAGCCTCCTGAGTGCTGACATTACTGGCATGTGCCACTGTGCCAGGCCCTTACATGATTTTTTATAAAAATTCCTAACATCCATTCCGGGGAGATACGGCCCAGAAATTAAGTACCAATTGAAGGTCTGGATTTCTTCTTTTCTCCACCTGGTTTATTTCCCTACCAGAGACCAGAGAGGGGCCTCGTGTGATCTAGAGCAGCAGATTCCTGGAAAGTGGGTGAAACAGACAGTTTCCCACCCGGCTGTCTGCCTGTCTAGAAAGCAGCCCGACTGCCCTCTAGTGTGGACTGTTTTCAAGGGGGTTTGGGTGCTACACAGTACCTCCCTCCAGAGCCAAGGGCAGGGTTCCCTCCTACCTGGAAACACAGTGAAGGGCAGGCACACTCACTGCCCACTAGGAGCGGTGTAGTTCCCACACGGCTGCGCTGCTGCTGCTGCTGGGTGCTGTGGTCCCTTGGCTCTTTCCTTCTCCTGAGGAATTAGGACTTGGAGAACTGCTGCAGAATCCTGATGGCGCAGCTATTGCCGTAGCTGCGAGTAATGCACTGGCTTTCATCTCTTACCCAGGATTCTGCTGTCTTCTGCCAGCCACCATGAAAATGTGGCGAGCTACCTTGGTAACTGGTATTTAAGGTAAAATCCCACTTCTCACAGTTCTTGACAGTGGATTTCTTGTAGATGACCTAGATTTAGACCTTGATGTATTGTGGGGTTTTTTTAATCCAATATAATAATCTCTGCCTCATAATTGGAGTGTTTAGGCTGTGTACACTTAATACAATAATTAGTATGCTCAGGTTTAACTCTACTATCATTTTCCTTCTGCCCCAAGGACTTCCTTTAATATTCCTTGGAGTCTTACGTGGTGTGAGCACAATGTCTAGTACTTAGATTATCACTTTTCTCTTTTGTCGGAGCTTGATCTTATTTATGTGAACCACTCCTGAAGAAGCCAACCAAAGGGTCACTACACTTGTGACAGCCTATCCTAGGAATTTCCAAACCTGGAAAATAAAAGCTGGGCCTGAGGGTGTTACTTAGTAGTAGTAGCATGTTTGCTAACATGTGCATGGTTTGGGGTTTGGTCCTCTGTACCACACACACACAAAAAAATCTTTTAATAATAATAAAATTAAAAGTTCACAGTCATTTTCCCTAATAAGAAGCCATTCCAGGATTGTAGGCAGGGAATTCTCACTCTGTGTGTATCACAATAGATTGCTTTATTTAAGGAAAAGCTTTCTAGGGTTTAGAGGCCTCATGGAGATCAGCTGTGTGCTCTCACCATGTGGCAGGCCCCTGCCTCTAGGTGGCTGAGAGGCACCTCCCCTCTCTTGTTCTTGTAGTTCTTGCCTCCAGCAGGCAGATGAATCATGTACTACTAAGCCTGCTGGGCTCCTGTTCACTGAGTTCAAGGTCAGCCTGAGCTACACAGCAAAACCCTGTCTCAAAAATACACACAAACACACACATACACACACAAAGGACCACCTTGAAAGGAGGCTGGGTACACGGAGCAGGGGTAGAGCCTGTGCTTAGCATGCACACAGTCCTGGACTCCATCCTGCATCCAGCCAAACATGCAAAACCCACAGGACAAGGACACTGGTGAGTGGGGACAGTCACAGTCAGAAATGATTAAGTGCAGGTGTACTGCTCCCCCAAAGGGTTATTGTAGTTAACAGTGTACACAAAACAACACAGAGAGGACTTTCAGTGTTCTCGTCACAATAAATGGTGCGTATTTGAGGTGACCAATAACCTAAATATTCCAAGTTGATCATTTCACGATAAATACATTCATCAAAATATCACACTCTATTATTTGCTAAGGTTTTTAAAAACATGCAAGAAGAATTATCATTCTGGGCCACAGCTGTGGTTTCCTTAGAGTTTGGGGGTGTCACACTCAAGAAAAACCTGGTATCTAAGTTCATTCCTCATCACTGGGGTCAGTGAAGACCCGCAGTGAACATCTCTGTGTGCCTCAGCGCACCGTGTGACCCACCACTGTTATTCTTGGTGTCTTTCACTCAAAGGTCTCTCTTCCCTGTGATGGCGCAAGAATCTCAATAATGAGAGATTTGTTACAGAAATGGAATTTCCAGATCATGTTTCCTAGGGAAGCCTTCTTCCTTGAAATCCACGAGGGTGTCTCTGCCCATAAATAGATCACAGCTAATTTGGACACAAATGTATATATCAGATACAGCTGGAAGACATGAGAGATGGTATCCTAACGGGAGGCCATATTCCATTCCCATCCCTTAGTATTACTGGGACTAAGTATGTGAAGGTTCAGACTGATCAAGGTCCCTGTGAAGCCAGGAGCAAAGAATGGAGGCCTGTGGGTGAAGGACTAACGGAGGACTCCTTAAGCCTTATGCTGCTCTATGTAATATTCCTGTTCTCGCCATTGATGAGGATGCAGATTACTTCTCAATCTCAGGGCTGAAATTGAGGTAACCACACCTCACGTTCCAGTAGCGCCAACCTCAAATGCTGCTCTTTCCCCCAGTGCACGGCAGGCTATTTTGTTGTCCTGTGCTTTCTTCAATAACCCTGCCCGTCTGTCTCTGGAAGGACCCACAGTGCACAGGGACATGAGGCTGCAGACACCCAGTGATTCCTTGCTCCTCACCAGGAGTTTCTTTTTTGGTGCTGGGAACTGAATCCTGGGGCCTCCGATATGCTAAACCCACGCTCTACCATTAAGCCTCACAAGTTGCTGGTCAGAAGCTCAGCGCTTTCCCTGTAGGATGAGCTTTGTGAAGCTCTAAAAATGCATTCTGCCTTCTTTCTGGCCGTCTTAGCAAAAAAAGAACACAGGTGTCAAAAAGACCTGCAGTTTGTCTCAGCAAATAATTCATGATTTAAGGTACAATTTGGCTCAGGAAGTCTTTTTACCCTGGCTGTGGACTAAGCACCACCAGAACTTCCTAAGACTGACCACAGACTGTCTTGCTGGCCTCAAGACAGACTGATGACAAGGAGCTCCAACTTCTTAGAAATTCCTTAGGGTTGGCTGAACCCTGGTGGCAGAAGCCCTCTGCTGGGGACCCCAGTGCAAACAGACATTTCACACAGTAGAGCGAGTGCTCAGTAACTGCCTGGCCTTGGATGGTCTAAATTGCCCTAAACCTTTGTCCAGATCTACTCATAAATGCCGGGCTCAGATCTTCAGATCCTTTGTTGTAACTGCATCAAAACCAGCCGCGCCACGGCAAAGGCTTACCCACTTTGCCTGAAGGTGGTATCGGACACTGTCAATCCATAGAGACTTCTGCTCTCATGGTTTTGGGATCTTCCATGAACCTAATGGTCCTGCAAGCTGCTCAACAAAATGCACTTCTCTAGCTGAACCACCACACTGTCTACGCCACCTTTCCTTTCCCCCGTCAGCACCTCTATCCATCACTGTAGCTCTCTAAACACCTTGCGGCTCCTTCCCTTCCAAGAGGAGAGAAAATACCAAACTGGAATTTGTCTAAAATCATCTGTGCTCTGTGCATACTTACTCTAAATGGCTTTGGGCAGATCTGCAGACAGAAACTGGGAATGCTCAGGCTGACTCTGCCATAGCAGACATCAAATCACCCTCAGAATGTGAATCCTCAGATCCCAGGTAGCACATTGCTTTCAAAGGTATGGCTAAGCCACTGGAGGAAAGGAGCCAATACACACAGCTACCGAATGCACCTTGGTGCCACCTGCAGCATCTGGGTGCTATGGAAAGAGGCTGTGTGACCTCAGGGCATCTGTGTCGAGGGCAAGGAACTTCAAACTACCTTTATACTACCAAGAAAATAGGTGGCATCTAGGTTGCTCCAGGTACTAAGACAAATCCCTGTCCAATCATTTATCAAAAGCAGGGTCACTATAAATGCACTCCTCCACCCCAGGTAACTGCAAACCCCCTGAGCTTGGAGAAGTCAAGAGCGGCCTTTATAGACTGCAGCTGCACAGGTTTTGTGCAACTGTCAAAGCTGACATCCAGGGAAGATGTGCATTTCTTTTTTTCTTTTTTGGTCTTTTTGAGACAGGGTCTCACTATACAGTTTGGGCTGGACTTGAGCTCATTTTATAGCCCAGGCTGGTTTCAAATGTGCAATGATCTTCGATCCTCCAGCCTCAACGTCTTGAGTGCTAGGATTACAGGCAAGCACCACCATGCCTGCCAAAGATGCTGAACTTTAAATATATATGCATGCTAAGTTCTTTAGGGATGAGAGATACTGTGGACAGTGACTTCTCACTAAAGTCATCCCTAATATCTGTGGACAGTTGGTTCCCCAGCTCCCCATCTGTTGGTATCAAATTCTAAGGATGCTCCAGTCCCTACTAAACAATACAGGATTTACATATAATCTTCCTGCCTACTTCAGATCACCTTTAGGTTAATACCTGACTTAATGTTACAAATATTTTTGATCTGCAGTTGTGTGACTTGGATGATGCAGAACCCACAGACCCAGAGTGACAATCTGTACAATGAACACTTGCAAGTGAGTACTGAAGGACACTTGTCTTTCTCCTCCTCCTCCTCCTCCTCCTCCTCTTCCGGTACTGTGGAGTGGATCAGACCCAGGGGTCTCTACCACTGAGCTACAGTGCTGCCCTGCTTTCAACTTTGAGACAGTCCCTCAGTAGGTTACTCAGATGGGACTCAAACTTCAGTTCTTCTGCCCCAGCCTCAGGAGGCTGACATTTAACACTGCCTGCTATAGACCTGGCTGGGGCACAGCCTCTTACCTCTAGGCTGCAGTTTAGTGAACAAATGAGCGTCCCTGCTTCGGAACTGTGGCCTGCAAGGTCCACAGTCCCTGAAGGGAGAGGAGGACCACTTCCTCTCCTCTGCCTCACCGTTCTTGTTTCCAGAGGTCTTTCCTCTGGGGAGAGCTCCCGGCCAGGCTCGCTCACAGTGTATTTTTCTTCTCTTTCATTGCTGCTTTACTTTTCATGCTCACTTTCATTGCTCCATCATACTGTACAGTCATCAAGCATTCACACAAATTCAGATCTTCCTCATTGGACATTTATGTATGTACTTACTTATTCTGCGTTATTGAAGTTTAAACCCAAGGCCTTTGCACTAAGGTACATTCACATCTTTTTTTATGTTTTATTTCAAGATAGGGTCTAACTCAGTAATTAAATTGCTCAGGCTAGGCTCAAACTTGTCATCCTCCTGTTTCAGCCTCCCAGGGTTAGGAGGTTACAGGTGTATGTGACCACAACTAGTTCATTAGACTGTTACAGAGATCAACGTGTCTTTGCTCACAATTGTGTTTGTTTTTTGAGACAGGGTCTCTGTAGTACAGGCTGGCCTTGAACTTGCTATGTAGTCCAGGCTGGTCTCAAACTCACAGTGATCCTCCTGCCTACACCTCCTGAGTGCTGGAACTACAGGCATATGCCTTCATACCTGGCTTTTGTGTGTGTGTGTTCACAGTTGTGTTCCTAGTACTTGGGTTGGTGGCTCACCCATCAACTAGGGTGCAAAGACTTTTGTTACACTGGCGATGGTGGTAGTCACCTGGAGTCCTGGCCACTGGGAAGGCTGAGGTAAGAGGATCACTTGAGCCTATGAGTTCAAGGCCCGCATGGGCAACATAGTAAGATCCTGTCTTTAAAAAAAATAAATAAATAAAAGGGGCTGGGGATTTAGCTCAGCGGCATAAGTGCCTGCCTTGCAAGCAGGTAGTCATGAGTTCGATCCCTGGTACTGATGAAAAGGAAAAAGACAAAAAAAAAAAAAAAAAAAAGTTTATTAAGTAAAAGACTAAAAGGCAAATCAGAGTAAGATACCATAACAAATATGATACCATGATACCACTTTTCTGAAATATGGGCAACTCGAAAGGATTAGCAAAATTTAGCATCTGCTGAGAGCCAGGGCACTTACTTGCTCTAAGAAGCAGAGATCAGTAGCCTTGAAGTGCCTGTTCAGATGGTCAGTGTTAACTCAGTGTGACTGTGAGATTTCATACCTGGGTATTTCTTCTAAGGCAGAGCAACACAAATATGTATCTGAGTAAGTGTTCCCAGAAGCTCCAAGTTTTGCAAACTTGGCAACAATTTCAATACCTTTCAAGAGAAGACTGATAGAAGGGAAAACCGAGCCCATGAAATTCTGAATTATGCAGTCATTCTGAGGAGTAGAGTTAATCTTAATATATTGATAGGAAAGTCTGAATAGTTAGACATTAAGAAAGTTACAGAAAAATAAAGTAAAACCTCATTTTGTTTTCTCAAAAATCTACATGTATAAACACAAATTAAAAGTAATCAGTAAAAAAAATAAAATTTAAAAAAAAGTAATCACAGTCCAGGAGTGGTAGCATATGCCTGTAATTCCAGCAGTAGAAAGGCTGAGGCAGAAAGATCGCTGGGAGTCTGGAGCCAGCCTGGACTACACAGTGAGTTCAAGGCCAGCCAACCTGCACGGTGAAACCCTGGTCTCAAAAAGACAAAAAAAAAAAAAAAAAAAAAAAAAAAAAAAAAAAAAAAAAATCCCAGTTACTTGGGAGTCAAGAGATTCACAAGTTCCAGGCCAGTCTGAATTTAACAATATTCTGTCTCAAAAAACAAAACAAAACCAAAAAACCACACCTAAAACAAAAAGTAGGGGGCTGAGACTAAGTGCAGAGGGAAGGTGCTTGCCCCAAATGCAATCCCGTTATCCAAAAAAAGAATGGGGCTAGGGAGTCAGTCACCACACTGTCAACTAGGATCATCTCCAAAGAACAGAGCAGAAGAGGACCACTGTGAGTTCAAGGCCAGCCTGGGCTACATCTTGAAATCCTGTGTCAAAAAACAAAACAAAAACAAAGAGGAGGGTGGAGACAGTACAGGAAGGATTTCCACTTTTTAGTTTACCTATTTCTAAGTTTTTTAAAACATGTTTTAGCATTTTAAAACAAGATTTAAGATACATACAGTGAACTCCGTCTCGTCTCTTTGCAGAACCAGACTGCACATAAGGGTTTATGTTGCTTCTGCTAAAAAAGCAACAAGCCTTGGCCAGGCGTGGTGGCACATGCTTGTGATCCCAGCATTCAGGAAGCCGAGGCAGGAGGATCACTGACAAGTTAGAGGCTAGTCTGGGCTACACAGTGAGTTCAAGGCCGGCCTGAATTGCACAGACTATCACAAACAACAACAGACTACAACCGTTGAGCCCTTTAAAAAATATCCCCACAACAGCCGAACACACATACACTTTCCTTATATCCCTGAACTGGTCTTTAAATCCTGCCCAGAGGTCTGGCAGGCATCAAGTGGGGCTCAAATCCTGAGGTGGGCATGGATCCGGAAGGATGTGGCACAAATTTTAGCTCAGTAGTGTAAGAGCCAGCCTGGTGAGAGCGAGGTCGTGAGTTCGATCCCCGGTAACAAAAAACGGTGCTTTCCCAAGGGGGTGCTTGGCATTCAGATGAAGTCCTGACAGTCCTCACTTCTAAATGTTGGCCAAGATGCTAGTTTCTAGACGGGGAGAAGGAAAGCCTGGGTTCCTTGTTCCCAGTTCCGCTGGGAAGTGGCCCCACCGCCTCTCTTCTCTGTCCAACTGCAGAGGGGTGGGCACCGGGGACGCTGTCGGGAACGCACGCCGCCCGCGCCCTCGGGGGACCAGGTCCCGCGCCTTCTTCCGCGCAGGGGCGGCGGTGGCGCAGTCCGCGCTGTGGGACTGAGAGGGGCGCCACCTGCCGAGGCGGGGGTAGGGGCCGAGGCTCTAGGGCCCGTGGAGGCGACTCTGGGTGAGAGAACGCGTCTTCCTCCGTCTCCGGGCCCGCTCGGCGGCCGGATGAGGGGCACCGCCAGCCCCCAGCGCCTCCAGGCAGCGCGCGCCCCACAAGGCAAGGAGGAAGCGGCCGCCGAGGTGGCGGGGAGCCGCCAAGGTCATGCGACTGTAAAGCGCTTTCCCCCACCCTGGATGTTTTCTTCTGAATGAGAATGGAATTAAGCTCTCCTTTCTCCGCCTCAATGGCCGGCATGCGGGATAAAAGTGCCTTTTATTGGCCTAGACTGCGTGTTGAGAGTCCCCTAGGTCCAAGGTCGCACTTTTTCGGGAGGGGTCACCAGAGGCGACGTGGGACCCCTGGTGAGAAGGCCTCGTGAGGAGCCAGAGCGCCGCGAGGCGACCCGAATACCCGAGACCGTGCAAGCGTCGGGGGCGCGCGGCGTCGCGAGCTCAGGTGCCCGACCCGGGACCCTGGAGGCCGCCGCGTCTCAGCCCTCAGGGCGGCGGGGACGGGCGCCAGTGGGTCCCGGGAAAGGGCTGATGCCGCCTTCCTGCAGTCTCGGCTTTTGGGACTCCGAAACCTACAGACGGGAGTGCGAACCCAGGTCCTGAGCTCGGCCTTCCGGACGCGAATTTAGGGTGCGCAGAGAGCCGCCGCGGTCTCCGCGACGCCCGAGCCCGCGCAGCAGCGGCTGCGTGACTAGCGCTCAGGAGACCCCGGGAAGGACGGGCGGAGAGGAGGCGTCAAGTGGGTGACCTCTGGGGGCCCGGGGACGAGCTAAGCGCCGGCCAATGGCAGCGGTGGGCGGGGAGTGCCGGGCCGCGGGACCCGCGTGGGCTCAGTCCCTCCGCCGCCCTCGCCCTCTCAGAACCCCGCCCGCCCACCTCCCTCTTAAACCCGCCTAGGCCCTCGGGGCTTGCGGGAGTGCTCGCCGCTGTTCCGGCTGCAGGAGAGCTGGGTGCGCCGAGGTAGGTGCCCAGCTGGGCGCGCTCAATGGCCGCAGCCTTCCTGGGCGGCCCGGTGCTCGTTTTGCGGCGTTGGGAGCTTTTATGAAGAGACTTTCTGGCCCCGAGTTGAGATCCCTGAGAGGCGCAGCAGAGGAGCGGAGCGCCATCGGAAGCTCAGGAGGAGCCGGCTGATGCTGCGCCCTGCCTGACCTCTCCTCCTGACCCCGTGTTCTTTAATTTCAGAGTCACGACCCTGGGTGGTTTCCCTACTGGGCTCATTGATCTTGCCTCCTAGGCCCACCGGCCCTGAAGGGGCTTCGTGCCTCAGCCGAGATGCACTTGGTGGCGTCTTCACTACGACGCTGTCCTTACCACACGGACACCGCGGCAGGGGACAGGGCGGTGGGGACCGCGGCCACCGAAGCGTCTCCCCTCGCTGGGCCTGGGGTTCGCTCCGCTGGCTCCCTAGAGGCGATCCCACGTCCCTTAATTCCCAGGCTTGGAGGGCGTGCGCTTCCGTGAGAGCTGGCGGATTGGGTCGCGACGTGATTCTGGGGAACAAGGCTAGAGGCGGATTCCCCAGGGAGTCGGAGGCGGCGCGTGGCTCCCCTTGGCGCGACCCGGTGGCCAGTACCTGCAGGGGTCGCGCAGCCAGGGCCGCGGTGCTGCGCTCCCATCCGGGCTTCGGGCCGCCCACCCGTGGCTCCAGGCCCCTGCCCGTCGGATTCCGGGAGGGCAGCGAGTTTGCGGGAGACCCTGTGAGAGCTTTTAGGAGGCGCAGAGCAAAAGAAAGTGAAGGGAACTCAAACGAATTTTGCAGAATTCGGGTTGGGGGCTGAAGTTAGAGAGCGGCTACAGGAAACCAGCTGTGCCTGGTCCAGGTGTGTCTGGAGACGCTGGGCGAAGGCGACACTAACCAGGAACTTGCAGTCTACCGAAATCCCGGGAGATTTTCGTTGGGTCTTTGTTTTTACTGCTTTTGGGTTTGATCGCCTAGTGAGATAGAGCTGGTGAGATCGAATGGGGAAAGTTGGTGCGATTAATTTAGACCCGGGAGTTGGCTGGGGTGGAAGAAGCCGGGCAGGCGGGGCCCCGCGTACTCATGCGCTCCCGCTTTTCCGCAGCTGCACCGAGCGTAGTCCGCGATGGCTTTCAGGCCACCAGGTGAGGCTGAAACCCCGGACAAGTGCTACCCAGCCGAAAGGCTCCAGAGCAGCCCGCAGGTCCTGGCTCCCTACTACTCTCCGTTCCCAGCCTATGGCCACTACAAGAGCGCCTTGCCCGCCGCGCAGGAGGACTTCCAGCCGTTCGGACAGCTGGAGGCCGCGATGTCCGCGTCTCAGGCAGTGAACCCTTTCCCCTTCGGCGTGGCATCTCCCTTACCGGGTCTGGCTCTGCAAAGGGAGCCGCTCTTTGACTTACCCTGGTACAGCAAATTACCGCTGTGGTACCCCGTTTCCCACCTCCCCAGGGAGGTGCCACTCTTTCTGAACAGCCACGAGTTGAACAGCCACGAGTACACAGGCGCGAGCAGCGACGATCTGCTTCCCGTGGGTGGGCAAAGAGACAGCGGCCAGTACTGGGGACCTGAGACTTTAATTCCGCTGCTCCCCGCGGAAGCCTCCACATTACCTGAGGGGCTGAAGACCTCCCAGTTAGTGTGTTCCCCCAGCAAGCGGTCTGAGGAAAGCGCCAAACCTCCGAGCCAGGAGGACAGTTCATCTCCTGGTCGTTTCCACTTCACCGAGGAAGAGCTGCATTTCGTTCTGTACGGGGTCACGCCCAGCCCGGAGTGCTCAGCCAGCCTGCATCATGCGATTTCGGGCCTCCTGGTCCCCGCCAATAGTTCCGGTAAGGGGAACCGATGCCAGTTGGAAGCCGGGTTGGATGAGAACAGGTGTGAGGAGTCACCTCAAGGTGAAGAGAGTGGGATCGCTGGGTTACCTTCGGCCGCGCCGGGGGTTCTAGGCTCACTTCTGGGGCCCTGCTCGCTTAACCTCGGGATTCCGAAGGGCGGTGAGGGCCAGGAGAAATGGGTGTACGCTTGGACGTAGGTGTGTAAGGTTTCTCCAGGACAGACTCCTAGACGCCAGAGTCTGAGGTACTGTCTGTTAGGACATTAGTCAGAAAATGTCATTAGTCTGCTTTTCAAGTTTGCAAAATGGAGTTAATTACCATTATGTAAGCTTGCACAAAAGGCATCTGAGTCTCAAATAAAACATGTGTAGGAAAAGCAATATCAAAGAAGCAAAACAACAATAACAAAAGATAGATAAACAGCAAGGTTACCTCTAGGGAGTAAAGCGGGAAATGCTTTAGACAAGGATTTGGTGGTCATTGTGTTTAGCCGTGTTCTGTTTTCTAGGGTCTGAGCTTCTTCCTCAAAATCTGGATCTAGACTCCCTTCAGCTTCCAGAAGGTGGGCAGCACTCCTTGCATGACCCGTTTCCAGAACCTAATGTGGAGCCACTTTCCTCATTCTCTGTTCCCACCTTGGGTTCCCCCTAGGTCTTTACCTCATGCGGGTGATGTTGGGTGCAACCCCACATTTTGGTGTGTTCTGCAGTAGCTTTCTTGCCAAAGGAATCAAGTTTGGGCCTTTTGAAGGAAAATTGATCAGCACCAGTGAACTGAAGATCCACAATGACAATTCTCAGGTGTGGGAGGTAAGATGGGTTTGCTGGAAGTGAGCAGGGTGGCCAGAAGGGGAAGCTCTTGGTCCTGTCGTTTTGATGGGAGAGTCCTGGTCAAACGAAGGACAGAAGGTCCCTGCATCAGGATCACATCTTTGCATGAAGTGTATTCTGAGATACCTGAAGTTATTTCAACCTATAAAGATTACATACAAACTATACATTTACAGAATTCATACACTTTGTCATATTTATAGACAGAACCAAATGCTTTAAATACATAGTTGTAGAAAGTCTGTTAAAAGGAATAAAAACGAATTTTAGTCTTTCATAGTATTTGTTTATAAAGTTAGTCAAGGATTTTTGTGTACTGGTATGCTCCAAACTAGTGACAATACCTAAGACACTAATCTGCAAGAGGATACCATTTGTTAGAATATATCAGATACCTTAAATGGTTCGAAACACCTTGACCCTGAATTTCCGGTTATGAGAATGTAGTTTTTGGAAATAATCTGAAACTTAAGCTATGTGGAAAATGTTAATCAAGGGTTGTTTATAATAAAACAGAGAGCTGGATGTGGTGTCCTAGCTACTTGGAGACTGAGGCAACAGGAGCATTAGTTTAAGGTCTGCAGTGGAGAAAATACTATATTAATTTATGGCTTTGTTGGTTTTGAGGAATGTGTCTGCAAGTGGTGGAATTAAATTAACTTCATTTCTGTTACCTCTGCTCATGAAATTAGCATATGTCCACAAATTTGGGAATTGAAAAAATGATAAAAACATTAATTTTTTTGTTTTGTTTTTCGGGACAGAGTTTAACTTTGCTAGCTCTGGTTGGTCCTGAGTCACTATCCCAGGCTGGCCTCAAACTCAGCCCCCACTCAGCCTCTTCAGTGTTGGGATTAGAGGCATGTGCCACCATGCCTGGCCAAATCATTCATTTTTAAAAACTCTCACATCACCTACAGAGAAGTGTTTAATAGATCCACAATACTTAAGGGCAGGATCACTGAGGTTGGGATCCCCATAAATTCAAGGCTAGCTAAGTTTATTTGGTGTATACTATAAAGATTTTTTTTTTTTTTTTAAAGCCAGGGCTTGCTGTGTTGCACATGCTGGCTGTCAATCCCTGAACTCAAGTGATCTTCCTGCCTTTCCTCCCTAGTAGCTGGGATCACTGGTGCTTTATAACCACGCCCAGCATGATTTAGTTATGATTCCTCTTTCTCTCTTTCAGTCCTGGTGCTCAAAGCTAAGGCCTCATGCATGCTGGAAGTATACTACCACTGAGCTACAGTTCTGATGATACATTTTTAGTAAATGTGTTCTGTGGGTTAGGGAAAAAAATACAAACCCAAACTTTGTATTTTATTTCCTTTAGATCTTTGAAGATGGCCACTTGAGCCACTTTATAGATGGAAGAGAGTTAGGGAACTGGATGTCCTTTGTCAACTGTGCCCGCTTCCCCAAGGAGCAGAACTTGGTTGCTGTTCAATGTCAAGGTCAGATATTTTATGAAAGCTGTAAGGAGATTTACCAGAACCAAGAGCTGCTCGTGTGGTACGGAGACTGCTATGAGAAGTTTCTGGATATTCCCCTGAGCTTGCAGGTTGCACAGCTGGGCACACAGCCAGCAGAGCCCACAGAAGGTGAGTGCCCTCCTTGCCTGCTCAGCTAGGCCTCAGTGGGAAGACCCAGTCCCTCTATCCTGTTCCCCTTCTTGAGAATAAATCGACAAGAAATTAAGTGGATGTCTGCTCTGCCTTGCGGGGAGTAAGTTTTGACTCCTCTCTTAAGCGCAGATTAACACAGTAGGTGAGGAAAAGCGCGGAGAGCAGTGCTTTTCATAAGGTGAACTCGGTACTGTACTTCAAAAGCAGGGAACGCAATGAAGACCAGCTTTACAGCTGGAAGATGCATGGGGAGAATAGTCAGTGGTAGAGCACTTGCCTAGCAAGGAAGTGCCGCTGGGCGCTTTTCCCCAGCACTAAAAAAAAAAAAAAAAAGAATTAGAATAGAATGGAATGATGGGAGCCCAAGTGTGGTGGTATAAACTTGTATTTCCAGCATTCTGAGAAGCTGATGCAGGAGGATTACAAATTTGAACCTCACCTGAACAATTTAGGAATTTAGACCATCTTGCAAAATGAAAAATAATAAAAGGACTGGGGGTGTAGTGTATGTACCTTCATACAAAAAGTAACCCAAGACCACATCTGAACAGCATGGAGCTGGGGGATTACTGGGGTGAGCCTCTGGGATTTTTTGTGGGAGTCAGTGCTTGGGGCTGCAGAGCCTAAAGGCAAGTGCTCTACCACTAACTACATCCCTGGGCCTTGAATTTGCATTTTAAATAAGCTCTGTCTGAGAGCTAACTAACCTTCTAGGTAGAACAAGTGTAAATCACTGGGATGTGTATAACTGAAGATAAGAGGACATTGTTACTTATGTAAAAGAACAGTGAATTGCAGAGACTGGCAGGATGGTGATTGTTTCCCTGCCTGTCTCCTGCTAGACTGACACCCTCAAGGCAGGAAATGCCCTAAACCAAGACAGACCCTGCCTCTGTGTCCTGAGCCTTGAACCAAGGAGGAAGACTATAACCTGGGGAAATCAGTTTAGGAATGAGAGCAAGAGGAGGAGATAGCCAGGGAGAGGGAGTAGAGAAGTCAAAGCCAGTGGGATTAGGAGGATGCCATGGTTTCTTCCGGCAGTGAGTAACGTGGGCTGTGAGGGTTGTAGGGTGTAGTGTCTTCCATTCTGTGTGGCATGGGCATGGGGCAAGAGCAGACTGGGATTCTCTGTCCCACACTTGGGACCAGAACAAGTAACAACTGTAGTCACTTTCAGAAATGTACCAACTGCATTTGAAATAGAAATGGATTTGAGAAAAAGACCTGCTGAACAACCCCAACATGTTATCATCCCTTTCAGAAGTTATTTTATCAGTGTGTATTGAATTATTAATGTCCACAGCCTTTAACATGTCAATAACACAGTGTAACATGGCATGGTACGCTGTTAACACGGTTTGCGAGCCCACATTCATAACAAGCAGCAGGGTACATGGGGGCTTGTGATGGAGACAAAAACTAGCACAGAGCCAACCTTGTGCTCCAGGTCTGAAGCAAGTGACATCAGATGCCTATAGCACTGTTGGGTGTGATTTGGACAATGTATGGAAGGGAATTTGTAAGCAACTTAATGTTTTGGGAAGACTTATAGCTGATTGTTGTTGTTACTTGCTTTTTTGATGCTGGGGCTCTCCTTTAACCCCAGGGAAATTCGTGCCAGAGAAACTCTCTACCACTGAGGGCCCCTCCGGCGGCGCAGCAACTGGAAAGTTTCAGGCCCTGTTAGCAAAGACCTAACTGGGCGTGGAGTTTCATGCACTCTGGGAGGCTGATATAGGAGGACCACAAGTTTCAAGTTTGAATCCAGTTGGGCAACTTAAGGAGATCCTGTCTAAAAATAAAAAGACGGAATGTAGCTCATTGTAGAGGCTCTGGGTTCAATCAATAAGTGAAATCTAAATTCTCAGTTCCTGTGCTCCCCCAAAAGGATTTGTTTTGACCAAAGTTTTTGAGAGGACTTTCCCATCAGGTCTGGACTCTTATGTGGGTGGGGTATTTGAATGTGCAAGTGCTGTGTGAGGACGTGTGGAATGCCAAGACCTCTCTTTATTGTTAAGATAAGAACACTCAGCTTGAGATCAACCATCTTGAAGACAACTCAATTTATACCAAGCTGTTGCCTAGAAAGTATCAGTATTACCAGGGCTGGGAAGCTCTTTGGCTAAAAAAAAGATCCAGGATAGGAGGAACAAGAAAAGGGATAGGAAAAAATTCAGATATATTGCCAAAGACCTGAACAGGAAACGTAGAAGGCTAAAGCCTGAGTGATAAAGGTCAGTTTTTGTGCTTTAGTGTTTTCATTTGTGAAATCACTGACCCTGTCCAGGAAGCAGAAGGCCAGGTACGTCTGACCACTGGAAACTGGCTTTGAGTAGGAATCCGTCAGCAGGAGGCCTGAGTGGATTAAGCACCTCAATGAAATGATAGACCAGCAAGCAGGCCTGGGACTCTAGCCCTCCTGGTTATTTACTTAATGCATGGTTTATCTGCTCAGCACCTGTTAACCATGCCTGGGATGTAACAAAGCCCCTGCTGTCCTGATGCAGAAAAGATCACTTATCTGTAGATTCTTGCATAGATTCCCTCTTGGGTCTTGTCCTCCGGGGACAGACCTCGAGTCTCAGTGATACATTTCATAGTGAAGCCACTTTATGCCTTGGAATCCAGAGTGGCCCAGGCGGAGGAGATGCCTTTGTAGGTGGCCTCTGTCCTTTGCCTTGCCCTAGTGACACCTCTGGCCCTGAGACCTCTACTCTAACTTCTCCTCCCCCTCCTCCACTAATAGGAGTACCTTTATGATTCAGGGCCTGCCTGTCGCTCAGTGACCCTATTGGAACTGTGATTAGGACTCAGTCTGCAGAGCCCAGTAGACCCCCACATAACCACCAAACTTTTCACTCTTCCTCTGAATGTGAATTTGTAGCTGCAGCTGCTCCTGTGGGAGTGGGGAAGGAGGGAGACTGCCATGACTAACCTTAGAAGAGGGCTGGCAGGGAGTTCAGGAACTGGAATGCCACCCATATGATGGTGGATGGTTGTAATCTCATCTACTTGGGAGGCTGAGACAGGAGGGTTAGAGGCCAGCCTGAGCAGCCTATCTCAAAATAAAAAGTAAAAGAAGCTGGGGATGTAGGTCAGTGCAAGGGCATGAGCTCAAGACCCAGTAATTTAGCGGGGGTGGGGGTGGGGTGGTAAACTCTTCTTAAAATTGGGCTGGAAGGAGATTTCTTCAACAAAGCACTTTGGCAAACAAAAAGAAAGAACGGCCTATATTTCTAATGGGGAATAAGTTAAATTTTAAGGTAACAATAGATTATTATATTTTTTAGTTTTTTGAGACAGGGCCTGGTTTGTAGTCAGGCTGGCCTTGAACTCAACCATCCTGCTGATGAAAGGCATGCTCCACCCTACCAAACTACTTTATCAAAATACTTCCTTATCTTACCTGGGTGTGGTAGGGCAGGACTGTATTCTCAGCACTCTGGGAGGCTAAATCAGGGGAGAATGGAAAATTGGAGCAGGCCCTGGGGCAAGTTAGCAAGACCTTGTCTTCAAAAGGGCAGGGATTACAGTGCAGTGTGAGGGCTCTGGGTTCAATCCCCAGTACCACCACAAAAAAAAAAAAACAGCGAAAGAAAATCCTTACCTTAGCTGGGTATAGTACATATCTGTAACCCTAGCGTTTGTGGAGGTTGATGCAGGAGGACAGGACTTCAAGGTTGGTTTGAGCCACACAGCAAGGCCCTGTCTTAAAACAACAATAAAACCTTTTTTAAATTTTGAGATAGGTGTTCTCATTATCTAGTTCAGGCTGCCCTTGAATTCAGTATGTGGCCCAGGCCTGCCTCAAACTTGTAGGCATCCTCCTACCTCAAACTCCTCCGAGTGCTGGGATTACAGACGTGGGTCCCCACACCCAGCTTGTTTTTCTGTGACAGGGTCTCTACATACAGTTTAGGCTAATCTTCAACTCACTATGTAGCGCACGTAGTGATTCTCCTGCCTCAGCCTCCCAGTGCTGGTGTTAAGGGTGAGCACCACAACACCCTGAGGCTTAAGGTATCTACCCCTACCGGTTTTTGTTTACGGTATTCTGAGGGAGGAGGAAGGAAGGTGACTGATACCTGAACCCACTGGCACTTACCCTATTTTTGACAGAGTCTACAGAAGGTTACAGATGCGAGAGATGTGGAAAAGTGTTCACCTACAAATACTACAGAGATAAGCATCTCAAGTATACACCCTGTGTTGACCAGGGTGACAGGAAGTTCCCCTGTTCTCTGTGCAAGCGGTCCTTCGAGAAGCGGGACCGCCTGCGAATCCACGTCCTCCACGTTCATGAGAAGCACAGGCCGCACAAGGTGAGCCCGGGCAGGAAAGGGGCTGATGAGTTGTACCCTGGGCCCCTGCCCGGCAGAGAGGAGCCCAAAAGGCATGGGTTACTCTGGGGCCCCTGGAAGACATGGCCTGGAGCTGAGTCTGAAGGAATAGAAAGGCTTTCCCATTTAGTCTGGAGGGGGGCTGCAGGTGTTAAAAGGGGTGCAGGGTTAAGGCCCTCCAGGCAGCAGCCATGCCTGTGATCTTAGGTAACTGGTTTTGCTCTGTATCCAAAAGTCGTGCAGGAATTTTTAGTTACTTATCTGCACCTACCTATCTTTTTTTTTTTTTTTTGGTGGGGCAGGGGTTGTAGACAGAGGCGTCACAATATAGCCCAGGCTGGCCTCAAGCTCACATTGATCTCTTACTTCAGTCTCCTGAGTGCTAGGATCACAGGCGTGCACCACTAAGCCTGGCTCGTTTATTCTTTTTGATGGTGCAAAGGTTTGGCTTGGACTTCTAGGTTTGTTGGCCAGGACTCTACCACAGACTGTACCCTCAAAGGGCGTTTGGTAGTTACAGATATAGGCTCAGGCCAGGAGGAAGCTGAGGTGTGGTCCAGGAGTGCAAGGCCTCTGGCTGTCCTTGCTAATGACCTTGAAAGCCACGATCTGCCATTCCAGACACGAGCTTGCTCTGCCAAGCGTGGAGCAGAAAAGACAACAAACTTGGCCAGAGTCAGAGAGAGGGGCAGGACTTCAGATTCACAGTTTCCTCTGGATTCCCAGCCCTGTTGGGACCACTCAAGGCAATGATGACATCGAGCCGTTTCCCTCGCTTACAAACAGTAGAATTCATAAAGTTGCCCTTACCTCTCTCCCTTTTCCTGAGCTAAGGTTTCTTAGTGGACATTACTCAGGGTCAGGTCAGTAAGAGCCTTAGCTTACCACGCTGGAGACCATAGGATCACAGCCCAGACCTGCACACTCATTTATCAGAATAGCACAGAGACAGAGTGGGCAGAGTGCTTGCCTGTGACCAGCGTGGGCCTGGCCGGATCCACCACCATTGATGCAGGGCAGGGAGACAACTTATGATTAAGCCAGGGTAGAAGGAAAGTACAAGTAAGGCAGATGTGCTTTAGAAAAATGAGGTATTTTGTTTGTTCTGTCTTTTTTGAGACAGGCTGGGCCTGTCTCAGGCCTATGCAGGGCCTGGGGATTTGGCTCAGTGGCAAAGATCATGAGTTCAATCTCAGGGACCCAAAACAAACAAACAAAAAAGGATTTCACTGTGCAATTCAGGCTGGCCTTGAACTCACTGTGTAGCCCAGGCTGGCCTCAAACACACAACATTCCTCCTGCCTCAGCCTCTCAAGTGCTGGGATTACAGGCATGGTGCTTTAGAGAAATTGCTTTTTGTCTTGGTTTTGGTTCTGGAGATTGAACTCAGGGTCACCTAAAATTAACAAAGGCTAATGTCCCTGAAAAATGACGTTTCAGAAAGAATACAAACTAAAAATGTCAGGAAAAAAAAATTGCCTGTAGTCCTTAAGAGTTATAACTACAGTGAGTTCATAAACCAATTCAGAATTTTCCTTCTCTATGGCTTTGCTTTTCCAGAAAGCATTTTTTTTGTTGCTGGTTTTCTGTTTTTTTCCTCTCAGTGGTAGGGATTGAACCCAGGACCTTTGCACTGAGCTATATTACTAGCGTTTCATTTTATTAGGTTTTTAAATTTTATTTAAAGAAAAAAACAAAACAGTAAAAGGGTACAAGTAATACAGAATTTCAAAAACAAATAAACAGTAAGAAATCATGTTAATACATTACATATTGTCATCTTACAAATAGTTGTTCAACTTACAGAATTAAAGCCTACAAAGTGGACATTCAGACAGTGAGACTGCAAACAGTTGTGTTCAATGATCCAGCAAAAACTTAGTAATATGGTCATCTATCTTACACACCTAAACACACTTGCAGTTGTATACGTTAGAACACTTTCTTTTCCTCTTTTTTATAATATCAATTACACATTTTGGGTTTTATTACTCCCACAGTTATTAATACTTTTTTTTTTTGGAAGAGAATAAAACCAATGTGACAAAACAAAGCAATCAGTCAAAACAAAGGATGGACATAGTACATGATGTAAAAACAGAATACAAGGTAATCAACAATGGTTACCATAATGCCTCTTGCTACCTTAAAAAGAATTGTCTATATCATCAGGTACAATAAAATTGAACAAAACAGTACAGGACAAAACCAATAAAACATAAACATTGGGGACAATACAGGACTTCAAAAGAAGGTAATAGTCAAACCAGAATGGGCATCATAGTGAATCTTATTGCCTTCAAAGTAGTTGCCTATACCCTCAAACTTGAGACTATCTAACAAAACAGAATAGAGTAAAATCAGTCAAAACAAGATGGTGAGAGCAATATAGGGCTTCAAATCAAGTTAATAAGAAATCAAAAAAGTTACTATAATATATCCTAATTTAAAAAAATTTTTCCCTTAATTAAAAAAATAATAAAAAAATAAATTTAAAAAGGGGAGAGATTGAGATAAAAGAGGACATAACAATACAGGTCAGAATAGAACAATTTAAGCAACATAGTGTTTCACCCACAAGATAACCCGACTTAATAGTAGTTACCGTAGCATCTCTTTCCTTGAAATGTTTGAGTATAACTTCATATACTATAGCATCAAACATATCAAGACAGTGTGAAACCATTCAAGAAGATGAAAGTATTACAAGGTGTTTAGAACCAGCTAACAGAAAATGAACAATGGTTTCTATATTATCTCTTTGCCTATAAAAAATTTTGTTTATACCATATAATAAAGTCCAATAAGATACAACATGATAAAAGCAATGGAGACAGAAGAGTAGCAGTTTAATGGGACTTCAAAACAAGCTGATACTAAATCAACACTAGCTATTATGATGTCTTGTTTTCTTCAAAATAGATGTTCATATCATCACAGACAATAAAATCAAACAACCCAGAATAAAGCCATTCCAGTCAATGAGTGAAAACTTTATAAGGCTTCAAAGTCATATAATGGGGAGTCATGATTCCCACATACTTTTATGTGTATCATTTCATACACTAGGGAAACTATTCAGTATTCATACATGTGAGTTTGATTTACTTCACTTATGAGTATGGTCCCAAGCTGCAAGAAGTATTCTTTCCTTTTTCTTTTTTCTTTTTTTTTTTTTTTTTTTTTTGTCTTTTTATTGGTACCAGGGATCGAACTCATGACTACCTGCTTGCTTATGTCGCTGAGCTAAATCCCCAGCCCTGCAAGAAGTATTCTTTATGGGGCTTAATCTGCACAGAACCTTTGTGGGGTTTTTCCCCCCCCCATTTTGGAAATTCGGAATCCAGGGTATTGTGCATGCTGGCACAGAATGTTGTACCACTAAGCTATATCCCCAGGTGTTTTATTTTATTTTACTTGCTTTGGACCCAGGGGCTCACTAAATTGCCCTCAGCGTCAGGGAGTCCACTGTGCACAAATTCTTAGATTTGGGGCTGCTGCGCCCCATGAGACCTGATACTGATCAGATTTACTGCTGCCGGAGGAGGAATGAGGCTTCAGCTCTGCTCTGCTTGCTTTTTTCCTTAGTGTTCTACGTGTGGGAAGTGTTTCTCTCAGTCTTCCAGCCTGAACAAGCACATGCGCGTCCACTCTGGAGACAGACCGTACCAGTGTGTGTACTGTGCAAAGGTGAGAGGGCCCCAGGTGGGCATCCACGGGGTAGTGGGGAGAAAGCACAGGGCTTTCACAGTGAGCTACATCCACAGCCCTTTTTATATTTCATTTTGACACAAGGTCTCATGAAGTCCCTAAGATGGCTGGATGAGAATCTGCAATCCTCCTGCCTCAGCTTCCCAGAGTGCTAGGATTACAGGTGTGTGCCACACATGCCTAGTGGCCACTAGGCTGGACAGCACAGGTCCAGTGTATGCCATTACTATAGAAAGTTCTTACCTAGTAGAGATCTAAACACTCCAAATAGGAATGAAACATTACTTTAATTCTACTAGGCTTAGGGAAATTGGTACTTGTAGAAGAAAAATTGACATAGTAAAACAGGGCTGAAACATAAGTCACCATGGGAACCAAGCACAGATCAAAAAAAGGTGAGCAGAGGTTTGGTAGAAATAGCTTTCCTGAGGGCCAACTGCTGCCCCATCCTATGGGGTTTCCAGATTTCCTGTGGGATACCCCACAAACCATCTTGTCCCTGAGATCTAATTTTGATGCCCACCCTGCACTTCTGGATAACCTGGCTCTCCGGAGCGCTTCTCTCAGAAAAATGAGGACTTTTATGTTCACACAAATGTGCAGACCATGTCGATAGCAGCCTTGCTCATAATTGCCCCAAACTAGAGGCACCGCAGAAGTCCTTCAGTAGGTAAGCACTGAAACCTAGTGATTTTGTCACACTCATTGCTGAATGCTGCTAAACATGACTTGGGAGAATTATGCTAAGTGGGAAAAGCAGATCCTAGAAGCTCTCATGCTGTGTGGTCCCATTTAGATAGTGCTGTTGCCATGTTAAAGCTGTAGGAGTGGAGAACAAAATAACTGACAGTTCCAGCTGAAGCAGCACATCAGGCAAGGGACTGTGTTCACAGGAGGACGGTTGGGGATTCTGTGTCCTGAGGCTGGGCTCGCTAAAAGATGTAACCACTGAGGGAGGTCCGGTGCTGTGTGCATAGAAACTTATTTTTTTACAGCTGGCTGTAAGTTTACAAGTATCTCACAGCATACAGTTGCCTCCTTTATACTTAAAAAAAAGTTTGTTTTTGAGACAGTTTCACTATGTAGTTTAGGCTGGCTTAGAATTCACTTTGTTTTGTTTTGTTTGTTTTTTGTCTTTTTCGTTTTTATTGGTACTAGGGATCGAACTCACGACCGCACACTTGCAAGGAAGGCGCTTATGCTGCTGAACTAAATCCCCAGCCCCTAGAATTCACTTTGTAGCCCAGGCTGGCCTGGAACTTGCAGCAATCCTTCTGCCTCAGTCTTCCCAGTGCTGGGATTACAGGTGTGAGCCGTAACATGACATTGGCACTTTTTTTTTTTTTTTTTTTTTTTGCCTCTCCTTTAGTAATGCAGGTGGTCTTGGATATGTTCAGAATTGATTATTTACCTGTTGGTACCCAGAGTTCCTGTCAGTTTTTTTTTTTTTTTTTTTTTTTTTGTCTTTTTGAAGCACGGTCTCATTATGCAGTTCAGATTGGCCTTGGGCTCACTTTGCAGCAATCCTCCTGCCTCAGCCTCCCAAGTGCTTGAATTACAGGAATGCACACCACACCCAGCTTCCTGTCAGATTTTTAAAACTTAAAGAGTTCCCAATGATGTCAGCCACTGAAGAACGTGAAAATCACATTCAGTCCTCAAAAGTAGGCAGGATAGCCAGTCAGCTCAGTCCTTTTTAATGAAGGCTACCTCTGTTGACCATGAATATTCTATAGCCTTGAAATCCAGATTCATCAACTAGCCAATTAAAGGGCAACAGAAGTGATTCAGTAACAATAAAATGAACCTCTGTCTTACTGGGGGTCCAGCCCATGAAAATTGTCTCTTCTGCTCCCTGTCTTCTGCAGAAGTTCACCGCCTCCAGCATCCTCCGCACACACATCAGGCAGCACTCCGGGGAGAAGCCGTTCAAGTGCAAATTCTGTGGCAAGTCTTTCGCATCCCATGCTGCCCATGACAGCCACGTCCGGCGCTCGCACAAGGACGACGAGAGTGGCAGGTGCAGCACCTGCGGGAAGGTTTTTTCTGATCAGGAGGCCCTCGACTCTCACGGGAAGGTTCACGAAGACTGCTTGCCCTCTGAGGGGACGCTGTGAAGATAGGACTTGGATGCTTTCTCTCTGGTTCTTGTGGGTACATCATAGGATCACATGGTCGTGACATTAGGAGAGAAATGGGAAAAAGCCACCGGCCAGCCCCCCAACTACCAGGCTGCGGGAGGGGCTCTTGAGGACACGCTTTCCACAGTTGTCAGCTGCAACAGGGAGGGCTCCAAAACTGGGTGTCTGCCCTAAGTGGCACAGGTGTCCCTGCAGTTCAGGGATGAGACAGTCCTAGATTTCCAGACTAAGGAGAAGCAAGCTTCTACTCGGCCCCCAGATGGACAATGTCTGCCCATCCTGAGCTCAGTTTCTTCACAGAACGGAGTTTTCATTTACATGAGCTACAGCTTGATTATTAGTAGTGTGCTTAATTCTTCAGTTATGAATTAACCCTTTGTCTTTATTTGAATTCGTCTTAAGCCCCATGTCCCTACTCCCAAGCTAGGACACATGCCAGATAACATGCTTAGCACCAAACAATGCTGAGAGCTGGTTGTTTATTCACTGTGCCATCTGTGATCTATGCCAACTGGGGAAGTAAGATTGCAACCGAGTGAACAAAGGCTAAAAATAAACTTATTTATGTTGCTCTGGTTTAAACTTCATTTCTGAGAAAGTGGGCTTTTGTTCAGGTCTTTGTAATTACTTTGTCACAATAGTACAGCACGAGGGCCGGGGGAAGCCCTCTGTGCTCCCAGGACTGGATGGGGAGCCAGGAGTCCAGTGAGTATTCCTGGCCAAGGTCTGCAGCACTGGCCTAGATCATGCTACCCCTGGGTTTGCTGCTTCACAGATGAGTTTAAACCTACAGATGAAGCAGTGGGGAGGTCACTTGTCCCTAAGGACAGACCCAGCTCTGTCCTAGCTATCTGGCTCCCAGCTAGCCACGGTGCTCAGTCTCAATCCTGATTGGGATTAGCTCTCCCGTTCACTCCTGTTCTCTTCCTGTGATACTGCGGATTGAATTAAGGACCTTGTGCCTGCCAGGCAAGGACTCTGCCTCTGAGCTGCATCCCCAGCCTGCTCAAGCCCCCTCTTCTGTTCCTGAAGACACAAGCCACAGCAGACTTTGAAATGTCACACAAGAAACCAAAGAGCAGAGTGAGCAAGATGAGGTGTTCCTGAGGCAACCTGAGTCCCTGAGGCTCGTGGTGTGTTTGACACCCACAGCTGGACTCCCTTCTCAGTGAGGCGCAGAGGCCCTTTCACAGGGCAACCCGCTATGCAGGGTCCTGGGGTGGGGTGGGGTGGGACCACATTTTGACAGGTTTTCCCTCAGGAGTTCTGTGCGGCCCCCACTAGGCCTGGCTAATGTATCCTGATGGGGGTGCCCTGTGGTTTGGGGCTGTTTGAATTCGAGTTATGTCAGAACTGTGGTCTTTTGGAAAGATCTGGGCTCTTACATTAGGCAGCCTTTCTTTGCTAGTTCACAATGTAAAAACATTTTTTTACTGTTTATGGGTTTGGACATTTTTAAATCAAAGCAGGTCTTTAGGAACCACTAGGAATAACTCAGTTTATTGAATATTATTTGAACCTGAGTAGCAGCAAAGGGAGTTGGGTTTTTTTTTCTGTTCTTTTATAGTAGTCATTTATTCACTCCTTAATATGCCTTAATAACACTATGTTATTGGGGGTCATAACATCCCATACCAACTGGGAATTTTTTAAATTTTATTTTATTTTGAGATACAGTCTTTCACATGGTTCAGGCTGGCCTTGACACCCTGTGAGGCCCAGACCTTGAACTTCTAACAGTTCTCCTGCCTCAGCCTCCCAAGTGCTGGGATTACAGACATGCAACTGGAAATTTTTGAGGACCAGTTCATTCAGTCTGATCTGTTAAGAAAGTTTTGGTTGGGGCTGGGGATTTAGCTCAACGGCATAAGAGTCTGCCTTGTGAGCAGGCAGTCGTGATTTCGATCCCTGGTACCGATAAAAAGGAAAAAGACCAAAAAAAAAGTTTTGGTCATAATCTTCATTTTTGGCTGTATCTTAGTTTTTTATGTGGGAAATATAGCCAGTTCATAATGCAATATATTTGTCGAGTAATTACCTGAAGTTCTCATATTTGTTTCTTTTTTTTTTTTTTTTTTGGTGCCGAGGATGGAACTCACAACCTCACGTTTGCCTAGCAGGCTCTTGTGTGTTTCAAAGGCTGGATGTGATGGCACATGCCTGTGATACCAGCACTGGAGAAGCTGAGACAGGAGGCTCACTGAGTTCAAGGCCAGCCTGGGCTACATACATAGTGAGTTCAGTACCTGCCTGAACTTCATAGAAAAGCTGTCTCAAGAAACAAACCAAAAACGATGTATTCCAAAAGATGTGTGTTTTATCTACTTTTAAAGGTGATTGGAGCAAGCTTATAACAATAAAAAGGCACTTGGGAGACGAGGCAGAATTGATGCAAGTTCAAGGCCCTGTCTCAAAAGAAGTGTGAAAGTAGAAGCAAGCCACCCAGTTACCCACACAAAGCAGAATGAATTAAAACTGATCTGATCTGATGGCTGAATATGGTTAGAAGCAGCAACGCCTAACAATACAGGTTCTGAGGTACGAACCTTCCGTGTGTTCCCTCATTATGTAATGTTTTATGACTGGCTTTTTAATTCACCCATAAAATAATGTGGTAATTATCTTGTAAGATGTCATAAGACTTCAGTGAGACTACTTATATAATGGACAATATTAATATTTCCTTGCATTAAGCTGTTATGACAAGGGAATCAGAATTATGTAAAAGATATTAATAATATTTTTTTGTTGGGGATTTAGCTCAGCGGTGTAAGCACCTGCCTGGCAAGCGTAAGGTCATGAGTTTAATCCCCGGTACCAAAACAACAAACCATATAATATATATATAATTTTTTTGAGTCAGAGTCTCTCTGTAACCCAGGCTGGACAAACTTTTTTTTTTACTTTAAAGAGATTAAGACAAAAGAGGACAGAACAAAGCAGATCAGAACAGAACTATGTAAGCAATCACAGTACTTCATTCACCACAAGACAATCCGATATTAACAGTAATTAACATAATGTCTCTTTGAAATAGTTGAGCATACCTTCACATACAACAGTATCAAACATAACAAAATAGTATAAAACCATCAAGAGAATGAAAGTATTACAGGGCATTCAGAACCAAATAACCAAAAATGAACAATGGCTACTACATTATCTCCTTTTCCATAAAAAATTTGTTTATACTATCACACATTAAAATCCAATAAGATAACGACATGATAGAACTAATGGAAACAAGCAAGATGATACTAAATCAGCAATGGCTGTCCTAATGTCTTGTTTTCCTCAAAATAGCTGTTCATACCATCACACATAATAAAATTAAACAAACTAGAATAAAATCATTCCAACTAATGAATGAAAACATTATAAGGCTTCAAAACAGTGTAATGGAGAATCATGACTACCATAAAATCTTTTTTTTTGTCTTTTTCCTTTTTATCTTTTACCGGGGATCAAACTCATGACTGCCTGCTTGCAAGGCAGGTGCTTATGCCACTGAGCTAAATCCCCAGCCCCTAAATTTATGTACTCTTACCATTTCTTACACTAGGGAGACTATATGGTATTTATAAATGTGAGTTTGATTTATTTCTCTTATGAGTATGGTCTCAAGTTGTGTCCATTTATTTATAAATATCTAAATGTGATCATTTTTTATAGCCGAGTAGTACTCCATTGTATAAAAATACCACAACTTTTTTATCCATTCCTCAGTTGATGGACACAGATTGTTTCCAAGATCTGGCTATTACAAATTGTGCTGCTATAAACATGGGTGCACATATATCACTGTGATATAATGTTTTCAGTTCTTCTGGGAATATGCCTAGAAGTGGAATAGCTGGGTCAAAATGGGACTTCCAAAACCAGCTTTTTGAGGAACCTCTAGACAGACCTCCACAGTGGTTGCACCAATCTACACTTCCACCAACAGTGCAGGAGAGTTCCTTTTTCCCCACAGCCTCTCCAGCATTTGTTGTTGGCGGTTTTCTTGATCCTGGACATTCTTTCTGGAGTGAGATGGAATCTCAGTGTTATTTTAATTTGCATTTCTCTAATGACTCATGATGATGAACATTTTTTCATGTATTTGCCATTTGTATTTCATCTGAAAACTGTATTAGTCTCAGATGCCCATTTTTGGATTGGGTATTTGAAATTCGGGAGTCTGATTTTTTAAAATTCTTTATATGTTTTAGACAGAAGTCTTTTTTTTTTTTTTTTTTTTGCAGTGCTGGGGATCGAACTCACGACCTTGTGCTAGACAGAAGTCCTTTGTCTGAGGGAAAGTTCACTAAGATTTTTTTCCCAGTTTGTGGGTTTTCTTTTCACTATGCTAAAGATTTCTTTTGACATGTAGAAATTTTTCAGTAAGACATGATCCCAGGTATTGATTCTGGGAAGTATTTCCTGTGTGGTTTGAGTCCTGTTCATGAATTCTCTACCTACCCCTATGTCTTCAAGATTTTTACCTATTTGCCTTCCAATAGATTTAGTGTTTCTGTTTTAATATTCAGAGCTTTGATCCATTTAGATTTCAGTTAGTGCATGGTGATAGGCATGGGTCTAGTTTTAGTTTTTGGCTTATAGAGAGCCAGTTTTTCCAGCACCATTTATTAAAGAGACTGTCGTTCTTCCAGTGAACATATTTGGCCCCTTTATCAAAGATAAAGTGGTTGAGTGTGTTTGTAGTTGTGGTTGTATCTTCTAATCTATTCCATTGATCGTCAGATCTGTTTTTATTCCAGTATCATGTTAATTTTATTACAGTAGCTTTTTTTTTTTTTTTGGTCTTTTTCCTTTTTATCGGTACCGGGGATCGAACTCACGACTGCCTGCTTGCAAGGCAGGCACCTATACCGCTGAGTTAAATCCCCAGCCCCCATTACAGTAGCTTTGTAATATAACTTCAGGTCAGGGATTGTGATGCCTCCTGCCTTTCCCTTACTGCTTAGAATTGCCTTTGCTATTCTAGGTCTCTTCTGGTTCCAGATGAATTTTACGAGTCATTTCTCTAGATCTATGAGGTATGTTCATGGTATTTTCATTGGAATTGCATTGAATCTGTATAGCAGTTTTGGGTGAATGGCCATTTTCACAATATTTATTATTCATATCCATGAACAAGGGATGGCTTTCCATTTTCTGAGATCTTTTTTTTATTTCTTTTTTCAGTGTATTATAATTTTCCCTGTATAGATCTTTTACTTCTCTCATGAGATTAATTCCTAACTATTTCATTTTTTGGACACTAGCGTGAAGGGTGTGGTTTCTCTCTCAGTGATTTTGTTGTTAGTGTATAGAATGCTATTGATTTTTTAGTATTGACCTTGTATCCAGCTACATTGCTGAATTTATTATATCTAGGAGCATTTCAATGGAGTTTTGGGGGTCTTCGATGTAGAGTATCATGTCATCTGCAAATTTAACTTCCTCTTTTCCTATCTTTACTCCTTTTATTTCTCTTGTCTAAGTGCTCTGGCTAGCATTCCCAGTGCTATGTTGAATAGGA